GACGTGCGGATCCGACTCCTCCCTTCCTAGGAGTACCCATCGGCGCTCACTGATCTTTGGTCGCAAGAAACAGAAACGCAGGCGGGCAGGGGCGCGCAGGGCGGCCCGGCCTACATGATGTACACCTTCTCGGCTTGGGAGAAGTGGAACACTTCTTTGGTCCTCGGGCAAACGACTTTGTCATCTTGACGGATAGACAACAGAGACTGAAAAACAATGGGGGGAGGGTGCAGCGCATGAGCACACGGACTGCACACGGAACCTCTCCGAATACTGCCTTTGGGAGGCCTGCCTGCCTGTGCGCCCTGACCCTGTGGCTTCTTGACCGCCGGCCCGGCTCTCCAGAGGCAGCGCGGGGCCGAGCCGCCCGCACCCGGGGACCGCGCCCAGGGACCACACCCTGCACCCCACACCCGGCGCCCCGTACCCGGCATCCTGCACCCAGGAACCACACCCTGCACCTGGCGCCCCACACCCGGCACCCAGCACCCCAGACCGCACCCGGCGCCCCGCACCCAGCGTAGCTGGCAGGCAACTGGCGCAGACCCTTAGGACTGCCAGGCCCACCACCAGCCACCCTCCTCTTCCGGCTCCCGCCCCCGCCCCCCACCCCCACGGCCCCCCCAGCCCCTCACGTTGTAGCCGTAGACGTAGCCGTTGGGCAGCATCATGGGCGGGTTGTTCTCGTTCATCACGTCGCCCGAGATCTTGCAGACCAGGCGGGAGTTGGCGCAGTGGGCCATGGGCAGGGGCTGCGCCAGCTTGTTCAGAGAGCGGCTGCACACGGGGCAGTCGGGGCTCTTGGAGCTGCCGTCCTCCTTGTAGCACTGTCTGTGCTCCGGTTAAGGAAGGGTCGGGGGGTGGGAGGGGTGGGGGACACCATGCAGGCTGAGGCCACCCAGGCTGCAAGGCAGAAATCAAGCCACAGCAAACACTGCATCCAGAAGGAAAATGGCCTGAGGCCACTGCCCTCCCAGCCCGGGGACTCCGCCACCCCTGCCCCCGTGCACCTGCCACGTTCTCAGCACCTGAGCCCACGTTGGGTCCCATCACACAGATGGCCACGAAAGCCAACAGCCCAGGGTCCCATGGGGCCCACATGCCGCACTCGAGAGGGACCCTCGGGTGCTGGGGTCCCAACCCCACAGCTCTCTGGCGGCAGGGGAATGGCCGCTGTGCCACACAAGTTTTCAAAGACACTGGACCGGGGGCGGTCAGGGCTCAGAGCAAGAGAAGTTTGAGGTGACTCTCAGGAGTCACACAGGGAAACTTCCAAAAGGTGCCCAGTCCCAGCTGCCAGAAGGTACGCCAACACCAGCCTCCGACCCACGAGCAGTGTGCCGGGCAGCGTCTGGGACTGCGTGAACACTCAGTGAGGCCGCATGCAAAGGTTTCCACAGACCAAGGGGAGAGGCTCAGCCCCACCGCCACCCCGAGGGCCTGAGACGGAGACCCCACAACACAAGCTAAGAGCACAGGTCTCAAGTCGGGAGGGGTGCAGCACCTGCTTGCTCGCTGGAGGGCAGAGGGCCCCGACACGGACCCCGGCTAAGGAGGGCGGAGCAGGCGGGTGCCCTTGCCCGCCAGAAGGATACGGTGTCTTTATCGCCGAGAGGCCGGCCTGCAGCGTGAGGGTGAACACAGAGTTGTTCCCCAGCTGGTGTAGCCGGTAGTTGTCGTACCGGAACTGCTGGATCAGCATCCGCCACCGGGCGGGGTCCAGCAGGTCCTGGAAGAGAGAGGGCAGAGCGGTGCTGGGGACGGCGCAGTGCCGTCCCTGAGAACAGCACACAACAAACCCTTCCCACACCGGCGGAAGAAACAGCAGGCCCGGGCCCCACAAACCCACGCCCACCGGCCACAGGGCTGTGCGGGGCGCCTGCGGCCTGGACTTCTGAGTCCATGTAAGGACCACCGCCACGTGGTCTGCGTGGACACGGATGCTCAAGGGTGGGGGGGCCTGTGGCCTCACAGCAGGAAGGGGATGCAGTGGGCCGAAGAACAGCACTGAGGTCTCACTCCAGAACCTCAGGCCTGGTTAATGTGTGTCCCTGGGCTTCCCAGGTTGAGTCAACAAGAGAAGGGAGGGGAGGGCGCACGCCGGCAAGAGGGGAACTCTGCACATCAAGCACTGGGGTCAGGGCCCCACGTTGAGGGAGGAAGCGTGGGCACCCCCATTCAGCGGGGCTCCACGGGCAGGTATCACGCTTAACTCCAACGTTACAAAAACACATCTTTAATGTCGTTTTTATCGAAGCAAAGTCCACAGAGGACCAAGCCAAGTCCAGAGGCTCTGCATCCCCCCCTCCCTGAGACCCCGGCCTTGGGCCTCTGGAGCGGCCACCTCTCCCTGACCAGAGGACGTCGTCCTGCTTCTCGTGTGACCCACTGAGACACACCTGCCACAGGGGGTGAGGGCTCTGTCCCCTCAGCATGGCAGGGCGTGGCCCTGCCCCAGCACTGCCCTTTGGGGCCCCGTGCCCCCACCCTGCGCCATCCCGTGTGTGCACCCTGGCCTTCCTCTGGCGTGCTGTCCATGTCCAGGTACGAGGCTGTGCGTCGGTGGGCTGTGCCTGTCCCCTGCCGGCCTTGGCTCCACAATGGCTGCACGGCTTCTCTTCATGCTGCCTCGGTGCCTCCGAGGGCCGGCCCTCCGGCTGTGACGGCAGCACTGGCCTCGCTCTTTGCGAGCGGGACACCTCACTCTCCAGGGCAGGTCCTGTCTGCACTTCTCACAAACCTTCTCCAGAGCAGGGAAGAGAGACCAAAGAGGCTGCCAACCAAAGTTCAGTCTCACTCCTGCAAGATCCCTGTGGCCTGAGGGCTGATCACAGGACATTCCGACACCACAGAGCTGTGAGTCCAGTCTCAGGGGACACGCTTCCAGCCGCCCTGCAGACGGCCTGCGGCCGAGCACTCCAGCCAGTGGGGGCTGTGTCTGCCCAGCGGGCTCCGCGGTGCCCCTGGGCAGAGCCTGCCATCACGGCTCAGGGAACAAGCCCGGTTCAGCCCACAGGGAAGGCAGTTTACTTCAGTCCTTCTGGGGGACAGGCTGGCAGCCGGCGGAGGACACTGTGGTTGAGCGTCTTACGTGCCCCACTGTTGGTGGTGTCGGCGGGTGGATCTCCAGGCCCAAAGGGTCCTGAGGTGGAGTCTTCAGGAACTAGTTTCCTCGTAAGAACATACAGGAGGAAGAGCCCCCCGCAACCTTGCCAGTGCCCTGGTCTCGGGCTTCCCGACCCGAGACTGGGATTCTGTCACAGCACCGCAGACAGACGACAGAAAACTGAGGGAGGGACTGGGCAACAAACCCCTACAAACGTGGGCAGGGCTGGGAGGGCGCAAGTCTCCACGGAGAGCGGCTACGGGGTCCCGAGCAGGCCTGCCACAGCTGGCTGAGAGCCCAGCGCATCGGGGGAGGCAGCGCCTGTGCACGAGGACGCTGGACGTGGGGCTGCAGTGTCCCAGGCAAGCTGCTGAAGGTGCACCTAGCTTCTCTACAAGCCTTTCCACTAAACGTGTGGACAGAAAACGGACCCTGGGGTGGGACTGCTCATCTAAAGAAAACAAAACTTGATGATCTGGAAACTTCCATCTGTGTTCTGAAAAATGAGAAAGCTGCTCAGAGAGGACGCCAAGGTCACGGCCAAGCAAGCCTTTCTAAGGGCACCAGGCAGGCG